CTTGCAGAGCAACACAGTTTTGTGCTCTATAATGAGGTAAAAAAAATCCCTACAAAGTGCACTTTTTGATAGGGCCAAACAGAAGCTAGCTCTGGCTTTTTAAAGCTTTGGGGTAGAGTTGAGAGATATCTAATAAGAATTGTTCAGGTTTAAACGTTTTTTCTGATACTTTACTGTGTATGATTTAAGTAGGTTATCTACATGTTCATTAAAGCACTTTGCAAATGTGCATTAAATTTAGTATCTCCACTGTGAGGTACTAGAAAAAAGTGCATTAGCCTATTTTAATAAGCATTAGCAAAAGCACATGGGTTTGATGTGATGCTTTAATGTGCATTAAAATATGCTAATGGACCGTGTGTAGACAAAACAAGAGGTGTGTGTGCACAACACTTTAAAGCAGGCTAAATGCTTTTGCACTGCTTTAATGGTGTTGGTATTTGGATGCCTCAGCAGTGTATTGTGCATTAATTCCAGCCACTGCAGGAAATTCTGCGGCATAATGCCCCTTAAATGGCTTGGGGCACAGAAAACTAGAACTGCCCCCAAAAGCCGCAGAGCAAAGTACTGGGCTCCATGCAGCTGCACAGCTCTGCAGGAAACCCTGCAGGCAGTCTGGCAGCAGCTTGGGAAAGCAGCTCCACCCAAGAAAAGCCACAAACCTGATCTTTTTCCTTTTTTTTCCCCCCTGGAGCCTGCCTGCCTGCTTGAGCTGCACAGGGGCCTGGTGCTTTTCTCCATGGACTGCCCGAGCTGGGTGGCTGTGGGCGGATGCTGCCTGGTGGGGGGGCTGCCACAGAGGGAAGCACCAGTCCCCCCACCCCCTCCCACAGCCAAGGGACCTCTCTGCCCACTGCCAGCTCACCCTCCCCTCCAACAGGGTGTGTGCATGACATGGGGTTTAATCAGCCCTAAATTGAAGCGTGTTTTTAAAAACCCATCACTTCAATTTAGGGCCCCCATTTCATCTACACACACACATGCGCATTAAAGTTAATGTGTAGACACGCCCAGTAACAATACAAGATAAATACGCCTGAGAAACAATAGCATGCACCTAACAAATAGAATTAAGTAAAAGGTAAAGGCGATCAAGCAGTCCTAAGGGGCTGGAATTTTCTTTCACTTAGATACTACTCATCTGCCTTCTGTCAACAAGCTCACATGTAAAATAACTGACAATTTCAAACTCTAAAAACAAGAAATCTAATACTTACCAAACCTACTTGACCTCCTGTTAAGGGTAGTAATTTAATTTGTTTATATCTCTTTTTCATGAGCACCAGCTGCCCGATCTCAAGGAGAGAGAGAGTGAACAAAAAAAAAGTTATTGATGATAAAAATATACTAGAGTTATGTTATTTCAAATGGCTTTAGTCCTGCAGAGGTAATACAAGACTCTGTATAATGCAGGAGTCTGTATGGATAGGTATCTTCAGTGGGATTGGGGCCACTGGTAGGTCAATGAAAGAATCTGTTTGTGCTTTTCCTCTTGAATGCATTGTATGTAATCCAAATGGAATATACAAGTAATAAATAGCCAACTGTGCTTCTAGACAAATTTTCCTTATTGTAGTGTACTTAGAGTGACCGGCAATCAGTGCTGATACCAGAATGTAAAACACCCGTTTATGCATCATACAATTTCTTATTTTCTTCAGCCAAGGTTTGTCATTATTAGTTAAGGGTACTCATTAGCATCAAGCATTTTTAAGGGGCTCATAGCATTAGGCGCCATAGGCTACATCTTTAAACAGCCTAAAATGATGACAACACAATACAAAACAAATTCTGATTTGATGTAAGTGTTCACTGTTGTCCTTGATTTGTTGTAAAGAACAGGATGTTTTCTGTTTTTAGCTGTGACTGGATTACCAATGAAAAGTAATTTTTAAACGTATTAATAGTTAGAACCACCACTCTTTACCTAGCTGTTTGCTTTATGGATTTGATCTCTTTTGGGAAATAGCTATATACATTTCTCTCATGATTCATTAAGCTAAAAATCTGGTTGAAGACTGGTCACCTTTTACTCATATGTGTTTGGAATAATCCTATAAAAGAAGAGCTCCTAATGACTACCAAAGAGCCCAGCATGTTGAAATGTCTTCCAATGCTAAAGTCTGTTGAAGTGTTCTAATTTAAGGCTTTTAAAACTTTCTTGTAATAACCGGGTTATCTGGGAAAGAATTAACAGATTATTTTTAAGGGCAAGAATAATTTAAAATGAAAAGCTAAGACAATATGTACATTAAGAAATCAAGCAGAGATGTTATTAGGAAGTTTCCCAAATAATTTATGTCCTGAATTTTATAAGTATTATAAGACATTACAGAAAAAGGAGGCAACAGGCAGATGTCAAATAAATGGAACAATTGTTTAGGATATATATTTTACTAACTGGTACAACACATGAATCAGAGTTGAAACCTCAATAATCATGTAGTCCGACCCCTTCCATAAATGCATCATGAGCTAGTTGTAAACCTTCCCAGACATATGCTTATCTACTCTCTTCTTGAAAAGCACAAATGAAGGAGATTCCATGATTTTCCCAGGCAATTTATGCTATTGTTTGACTGTACTCACATACATACAAAAAGGGGAACTTCCTCAAATCAACCTATTGTTAGTACTACATAGGTTCATATTAGTAAAGCACTGTCAGTGGCTTATAATGCCCACAGCTGGAATCTGTGTTTACCTAGTATGAACCACTTCTTCCTACGTTTTGTATATAACTGCCATTTCAACTGGAAACTTCCTTTTTTAGTTTTATGTTGTTCTTAAACAAAAACAAGACATAATACCTAAGGTGCAGGGAGAATGTCAGCTTTTGCTCATTACTAAGTGGCTTTTGCTGAATAGACTTTTGGTTTCATTATGTTTGTGTTATGACACCACCCGCCCCCCCCCGCCCCGATTTGTGAAGACAAATGCCATTTCTAATACTATATCATTATACTTTCATTGTGTACCTAGAAAGAAGAATGCCAACATGGCTAGAATTTTCCATTTTCTCCACCTTCAAACTGGCTACTAAATGCATTCAATTGATAGATGATGCTAGCGCATCAAAATTAGACAGTTACAGTAATACACAATTACACCTGGCCACATGTTCAAGCAATTAATGATGCACTATAATGTGAAACCAGCCACAAATTTTTTACACAAAAAATGTGTAGCAATTTTTCAGCTGGTTTTCATAGCACATTCAAATGAACATCTGGTTGGTTGGACCACACTGGGGGCTGCAGCTGGCTCCGGTACAGTCTGTACCAGTTGTCAATCAGCTGATTGTTGGCTGGATGTGGTACCAGGTACCATACCGTGGCTTGAATAGGTCAGCTGATTGTTGGCAGCATTAGGACTGCTCTGGGGCTGCCCCACATGGTCCTAATGTTGCTGAAGATCAGCTGATTGTTACTTTGTAGGGATGGCACTGGGGTTTGAGCCCCAGTACAGTTCCCTACCAGGGGACAATCAGCTGATTGTCAACAGCATGGGACTTCAGTGAGGTTCAAACCTGGGGTGTCCCTGAAAAGCAATGATGAACTGATCGTTAGCAGCATTGGGACTGCACTAGGCATCCCTGGTACATCCTTGATGCTACTAACAATCAGCTGATTGTTGGCTGGCTCCTGGGACCAGCTCAGGCTGGTTCAAGCCCTGCTGTGGTCCCTGTAGCCAGCCAGAAATCAACTGATCTTTGGCTGGATCAGGACTGCATCAGGTTTCAAACTGGTAATGGTATGGTCCTTCCAGCCAATGATCAGCTGTTTGTCAACAACACTGGGACCACATCAGGAAGCTCTTGTCTGGTCCTGAGGTTGTTGCTGATTAGCTGCATGTTGCCTCACTGGGACTGTACCATAGGCGGTTCCATGATCATGATCCTAGGCACCCACCCCCTACAGTGCCAAGTTGGGAGTGATTAGAGTCTGACCTGTACTCACAAAACTGGACATCCTGCCATGCAAGTATCGTCAGGCAGGATGTAAGATTGATGGGATTGAAGATCAGATCTTACTGTGCTTTTAAATGAACATCTGTCAATGGCTTAACTGTTCCGCTGACACCAAAAGTATCAAAAATGATGGGTTGATACATACAGAGGAAAAGCCACATTAAAAGTTATGAAGTCGGGGCAGAGAAAGAGTACAAACAGATGTGACATTTGGTCTGGCATACAAAAAACTAGAACTCTTGGTTCCAAAATGATACCTTTTATTAGACCTACTGGAAAATGGCAAGAAAATTGTCTTTTTCTGCAAGCTTTCAGGATCAAAGTCCCTTCATCAGGCTCTGGGAAAAGTGTAGATGGTAAAAGATGGTAAAAAGAAAATGGCAAGAAAAGGCATCAAACCCCAGCTGGCATCTCAGTGCTGCTCTCCCCCTCCCTCCACCCTTCCCCAACAGCTCAGGGGGGACTGGGCTGCATCAGCCCAGCCCACATCATGTGAAAAGTTAACCCTAGGGAACACAAGTTCCTTAAGACACTAACACAGAGCGCCTTCATCTAATATCTTATATGAGGAGGGTTAATTTTTTGCACAATTGTCCACTTCAAAAGTGCTCTGCAGCCATGCATGTGTGTCGCAACACAGCTGTAGAGTGCTTTCAAGGGCTCAATTGCATGAAAAATGTTACTTGTGTAAGTACCCTTAGAGACCAAGCTGGGCAGGAAATATACAGCTGGCCCTGGAGCCCAGTCTTATTACAGGGTACATTTATGCACAAAGAGGTGGCTTTATAAAATAGAAATTTCTGTATGTGGTACATCATGAGAGATTTGATGTAGTATTAAATTGTGTTTGAGAAACATGAACAGCTTAGTTTCCTTTGGTCTCTAAGCAGCAGTTTCAATAGAAGAACTGGAGAGTAACCTCTTGCTGGCTGATCCAATAGAAGTTATGGTCAGTCATTCTTAGCTTGAATATGTCCACGCACATTGACAGACAGTACAACCATGAAGGAAAAGATGATATAATCACTACCTTAATGAGAACGTGAATATCTCCTGTGGCTTTGGATGACTTGAAGTACCAGAAGCTCATCATACAATCTGACCTTGATTCTTTCCATCGGGAGCTTTTCACATGGGCTTTTTCTCCTCTTAATCCTATTGGTGTAGCTTCAAGATACAGAAATTGTCCTGAAAGTAAGAGTTATATGACATTAAAATGGTTTTGGACTTTCAGGTTATGTTTCATGGCCCAAACTCAGCAAAACTAAATGCAGAGAGATGTAAACCATATCACTTAAGGGTTAAAAAAGCCCCTTCTTTGGAACTTGTATCCCCAGGAAGAGGGTGAGGACAGCTTAACATTTTCAAGAGACTGGCTAGCAAACTGTCTGATAGGAGTCTCTGAAAAGACAGTGAACTGACATATTTTTCCACCCATGTTGACTGTATCCCCTTTTTCTAACAACACGACCTGCTTTTCAGGCTGTGCTGCCCATTAAATGACAGCATTTCCGATGCCAGCTGCAGCACCTTCCCTTTCACCTTCCCTTCCCTTTTTTGGGGCCCTTTCACCAACATAACTAGACGTCAGCCAAGTAGGCATCTAAAAGAAACTTGGGTGGAATTGAGAGGTGCGTCCAGACATGTGTGGACATTTGGTTCCCTGGGGACAAGTAGTGGCAGTGCACCTTGCACCACCACTTCTTGTCCCTGGGGAATGCCTGTGCCACACACACTTTGGCATGCAGCAAGTTGCCCCGGGTGGCATAGGGGAGGCTGGGGCCAGCACTATGTTGGCCCCAGCAGCCTTACCTAGGCTCCTGGGGGCTTCCTGGAGCTGCAGCCATGGCAATCCTGCTGGGCGGAGCCTCACCAGCAATTGCAACATGGCTCTGAGCAGCCAGCCCAGCTCCGCTTTTTAGCAATGCATGCTGCCCAAGTGGGTGCTGCTTCATTTTTTTTCCATATTTTTTTGACCTCTGGATATGCAGGGGGTCAAAAAACCCCCACAAAAAACCCCCAGAGCAGCGCATGCTTGCGCAGTGTGCCCTTGCAATGAAGAGAACTCTGGACTGTGTGGTATGTGGCACTACAAATGTGTTTGCACTCATCTGGACATGCCCATGGTGTCTAAGTCAGAAAAAGTGATCCAGAACCACTCCACTCCAGTAGCTACAATCCCTCTTAATTGCCTAATTTCAACAGGCACCTTCATTTTGTCCAAAAAAGAGAGTCCTTCATACCCAGGCTTAGGTTTCTGTGCAGTCTCCAAAATGATCCAGCTCAAGCATCCAACACTCAAGCACTGGAATTCAATCTCAAAGGGCCTTATGCATTGCAACACTGAGTGTTACAATGCCTATCTTTTAAGCACCTGGTCTGCATAATGGAACCCACAGTCCTGAGTCAGATGTCTGAGCTTCCTAAACAATGCACCAAGAGTTTGAAGTAGCACTATGGGATTGACAGACATGGGACTCTGAGTAGCCATTACGGAAACACTAACTGGAAACAGAAGTTGTCTATAGAGTGTGATCAGCTGTGCCACAATATGTCATGCCACAGTTGATCGTGCTCAAGGACATCTACAGGCACCCTCACTTGGGCTTTTCTCCCACTTGCAGATGTGCCCCTGTGTTTGGAAGTTTCCTTCCTTCCCTCTTGTAGATACATGTGCGGGCAAATCACTCTACATGGGATTTCCCCTATCCCTGTCTGCAAGCACAGAGGGAGTAAACTCCCATAGGGTTCCCCCCCTCTGCATCTATGGCCTATGCCCATGCAGAGGGATTCTACTGGCACACATATCACTTCTGCATGGGGGAAGGAAACCCTGCTTGCAGACATATGCCCTATGTCGGGGCAAAACAGTGACTTTCTCTGCTTATCCAGACATATCCCTGAAGATCCCTCAGATGCATCTAGGTAGGCAGGGAAAACAGGGAAGGCACTCCCAAGGCTGGAGGGAATTTGCCTGGGAATTCTCAGGGTGTGCAAAAACTAAGCCCCTCAAACCCACAGACCCTGTGCCTCAGGTCGCTGGAGAGGACAGGCACCTTCAGGCTGCCTTTACTCTCCTACCCTTAACACACAGATGTGGGTCACAATGAAGTGGCCCAATTTATTACTATATTCTGTCATTGCCACAAATTTGAGCATTTGTGATGTGACAGAAGGTATGGATCTCTTATTTGCTTTCACTTTGTACCACCCTAAAAATTTTTACAGTGGCTCAAAGGTGATGTCTGTTTCTACCCATTGAGGCCAGGATGCATCTTAAATATGTCCCCTCAAGAAATCACTTCTTCCTAGGGCTGTGCAAAACAGCATCATTCCACTTCAACGTCCATTTCGACGTTTCAACGGAACAGTGTTTCATTTAGAGTTTTGTTTGGGAGGAGTCGGCAGAGCCCTGCAGTCCTCCCAGGATCAAGGCGGCACCAGTCCCTGCACGGGCTGATATGCCCCAGGCTCCGTACCGGAGCCAGCCTGAGGGGGTGCAGGGCCAGCTCATGGGGGTACCCTCCCCCACCCCAGGATCAAAACACATCGAAACAGCTTTGAAACGAAACACAGGGCAAAATTTCACATGGCTCTACTTCTTCCACCTCAGAAAGGACCGTGTGGAACTTGGAGCACTTATAGCCTCTCTTTCAAGCTCCAAGTAGGGCTGACTTCTCTTTTAAAGCATAGAGAATGAAGAGTGCACTGTCTTTAACCTGTTTAAATTCGCTGATGACACCAAAATTTGGGGGGAGGTGAGCACGCTAGCAGGGAGTGAGAGATTGCAGAAGGATCTGGATAGGTTACAGGGACGGGCTAACAGGAACAGGATGCGTTTCAATACGGACAAGTGCAGGGTGCTGCACTTGGGCTGTAGGAACCAGCAGCACACTTACACAATGGGGAACTCCCTACTTGAGAGCACGGAGGCAGAAAGAGATCTTGGAGTCATTATTGACTCCAAGATGAACATGGGCCGACAATGCGAGGTCATGGTTGGCAGGGCTAACCGGACCTTGTCGTGCATCCACAGGTGCATCTCGAGTAGAGCCAAGGAGGTGATCCTCCCCCTCTATGCGACGCTGGTCAGGCCACAGCTGGAGTATTGTGTCCAGTTCTGTGCGCCCCATTTCAAGAGGGATGTGGACAACATGGAGAGGGTCCAGAGGAGGGCCACCCGCATGATCCGGGGACAACAGGGCAGACCCTACAGTGAGAGACTGCGGGACCTGAACCTGTTCAGCCTCCACAAGAGAAGGCTGAGGGGGGACCTGGTGACCGTCTATAAACTCACTAGGGGGGACCAGAAGGGTTTGGGGGAGACGCTGTTTCCCCTAGCGCCCGCTGGCATAACAAGGAGTAATGGGCACAAGTTGATGGAGAGGAGGTATAGATTGGACATCCGCAAAAACTACTTCACAGTTAGGGCGGCTAGGAGCTGGAACCAACTTCCAAGGGAAGTGGTGCTGGCCCCTACCCTGGGGGTCTTTAAGAAGAGGCTGGATGCCTACCTGGCTGGACTCATTTGAGTCCCGTTTTTGTTTTGGGGTTTTGTTGTTCTCCCGCCCTGGCGGGGGGTCGGGCTAGAAGATCTCCTTGGTCCCTTCCGACCCTAAATCTATGAATCTATGAATTTATGTAAAATATGGATTTAAACAATCAGCTAGTTGTCAAAGCACTCATAGGGCACGTCCACATATTCAAGCACATGCGCTTGCAGCAGCTCAAATAGAAGCGGTGCAATTTTGTGCCGGGGTTTTTTGCCTCAGCACTGTGGGGATTGGGGGAGTCGGGGGGGCAGATGGGGGTAGGGATGGGCAGGGCTGGGGGAGCTGGCAGGGACAGCGGGGGTCCTCCCCATAGTCCCCTCCCCCCTCCTCCAGCTCCCCCCGACCCCTTACTTATGGCACTGGAGCCCTGGTGCTGAAGCAAGTGCTTCAGCACCAGGGCAAGGGGCCAACCATAGAGATGATTTGGCAGCCAGAGTGTCTCTGTGGAGGACCCAGCCTCCAGTCGCCTCAGGGCATGGTACAGGACCGTGCCCTGCCCCACTTTTTTAAACTTTGGTTTTTTTAGACCCGTGGATATCCAGGGGTCTAACTTTTTCCCCATGCTGCAAACTTGCAGCATGGGGAACATTTTTTCATTCCCACATGTGCCTCTTGCCCCATCTTAAAGAGGTTTGAGATGGTGCAAGAGGCATGTGCGCGCTCATCTGGACGCACCCATAAGTGGTTAGACCCATGTTCACCTTCCACCTTAGTGGTTGGGGATTCAAGATATAGTTTTCAATCCTTTTATGCAGATGTAAGTATTTAACCCTACATCCTAAACAAGTGTTCTAATCACTACAATGTTGCATACAAAGGAGATGACAGCAGCACCAAAACCTTCACCCAGGTTTTAGTAGAAAGCTATAGTCACCTCTTCATTTTCTGCTGAGCCTGACAAGTTACCTATGCTATAAGAATACCTGCCAGATTGAGCCCCTCAGGGGAGGTAGGGAGAAGCATACAGTGTGTGTTAATCCTGATGAGGTTTAAGTGGGAAACAGGCTTCACCTGTCAAGAATGACACATGCATGGAAGCCTAACAACTTAAATACCTAGAGAACCTTAATGTTGAAAACTGAAAACCAACAGAGTTTAGGGGCCTCCAGAGTTAGGTGGTACCATAAATTGGTGTTTGGAGGATTGTAAATTGGAACTAAGGCATTGGAATTCTACCTAAATCTCTCTGTGGATCTGGGATTGAGTGGTTTCTGAATACTGCAGTTATAATACCAGCCAAAAAAGCTATAACAGATTGAGCTGAATGCTACTCTAGCTCGCCCATTATCAACACAATTAAATGATGTAAATGCAGATTATAAAGCCAAATTCTATTCTCACTTATATATTTAACAGTCTCATATGTAAATGAGCACATGATAATTTCAAGGCTACAGAGTAACTACTGAGGTGTAATCAAGGGCAAAACATGTCCTATGTTTTTCACTATTTTTATTACTGATGGTGTATGAATTAAGAAAAATATAGCTTACCTTTCAGATTCTAGGGTGAATTTGCAGGGCTAGCAATTTGAACAAGAGTCTTTTTATTTGTATGCCAAGAAAATTTGACATGAATGTCAAGGAGACACAATGACCATAGAACCAAACAATATCTTTTAAAACCCTGCATTTAAACCAGAACTGAGCTTTTTAAAAGCCAAAAAAGTGTGCAGCATGTTTTCTGTCCCCTGTATTTCTCTTGCACTTTCTTATTTTTGACACCATTAAATGTAAACAGCCTAGACTGTCTAAATTTGGCAATAAGTGTACAAATAAGCTTCAATGTTTATTTATCCCTACCTATTCCACACACAGGACTATTGCTTATCAAGTTGCCACAGGCTCCTAAATTCTCCTGTGTACACAATTGTAAATAAACTCTGGCCTTTTAAGATTCAACCATCCTCCTTCCAAAGCCCATCTTCACATAATATATCCTAGTGATTCCCTCTGGCAGCTGCTAAATTCAAACTCTTGGCTTCTGTGAGGAGTGAAAGATTTGAATTCCAAGCTCCAGCACTGTACATTTCAAATACAGGAGTGAACTTAAAATGCGGAAAGATATAGGAAAAGAATAGCAACCTGGATGCTCTGGGACAGAGGAAGAACGTTTTATGGAAAATGGTGAGAGCTGTAGCCACTCCAGCTACTTTCAATGAAGGGAGAATACAGGCTACTTTTGTAAAATGATTGACCTTTGTAGTTGGGACTCGGTCCTAGCAAATCGCTTGGGTCACTTATTTCCTGAAACATCCAGCTCATCTCTCTCTAGGACATACTGTTTAGGTACAATTTAGTAGTTAGATAGAAAAATATTTTTCTAGGCACAAGGGCATCTTGCTCCAGCTGGCTATCAATGAGTGCCTTACTATAATTTTGAAAAAGTCCACCTCACTGCATTAGCAGTGTCATTTAATAAAACCAAAGTTACAGAGCTGATGCCTCAGGCAGCTGGAAAGCACAGGCACCTTTAGACTGCCCATGCTCTCCTGCTATAAACAAACAGATATGGGCCACTATAAACTGATTTGAGTTTTTTTGGTGCAACAGATATTATGGACCCAAAGGGGAAAAAAATCAGAGATCTGAATGATTGAAAGTGACCCTATCCCATGGTTGTCAAACACCCAGACTGTTGATTATGCCACTATGTTAAATTAAGGTTCTGCATGATTCTGGCTTTCATTTTTGTAAAAGGTATGTTTTAGTCATATAGTTGAAAAGAAAAACTGCTGGAAATCATTTAAATTGTTCTGTTTTTTCTGAGTATCAGAGATAGACCACAGAATGATTTTTTTTAAAACAAGCTTCAGACTATGTAATACTTCAGATTTCACCAGATGCTTACTAGAAATGATCTCAAAGTCTGCTGGAATGGATCCTAATAGATCTTGTACCCTTATTGTCTGTGGCTGTATCAGATGTCTCTCTCTTGACAAGTAACCAATTGTCTTGTTCGTTTCATGTTGTACTATTTAGAAAAAAAGGCAACTGGGAATCAAACTTTTATGACTGAAAAATCACTGTTGAACAGTAATTAATATAAGAACCTAGTACCCAGTTAAATGTTTCACTTATTAATAATGTCACCTTAATTAGATATTTAGAGCCCTCCTGCTGTATCATGGGAAGACATGAGAAGTTTTGTGAATGTGATTATATCCTTGTGTGCGAATCAACAACATACCATTTTTATTTCCAAGCGTGTGATCCTTGGGAGGTCTAAGACTTTGAGACGAGCCATCTCCCAGAGTCCAGTCAAAGTTGTCACTTAGGGAATTTTGCCAACCACATCTGCCTCTTTCAAAGGTGCAGGAAGTACCGCATTCATTCTCGTCGGTATTATCCCCACAGTCATCTGCAAAATCACAGCTTTGTTCTGGTCTGTAACACTTGCCATTCTGACATTCCCAATAGCCATGTGAGCAGGAGCCTAAAACGAAAAGGATAGGGGCATCCTAGTGAATCACACTGTAGTGCACGCCAGTAAGGTTACTGGAAGGTTACATCTGAACAGTTTGATATTTAGGAGGAGGAGGGTGGTCCAAGAATTTTTTATTAAAAGCCTTTGGTTCCCCTGAAGTGCCAGTCCATTATCAGTTTATTTCTTTTGTGTTCTGTGAAGAGATGGCCTAAATAAATGACTGTTTTTCTTGTAAAGCTTTTGAGGGCAAGTTCCAGCCATGCATTCCTTCACTAACAAAGCTTTTTCGTCTGACTTAATTGCTGACATTTTCCTTTTATGTGGTGTAGGATTAAACCATTTCATTCTAACTGCAAAGTGGAGCTTAGTTTAGCAGCTCCAATTTAAAAAGAAAGGAGAAAAAGCTTTTATTTTTTAACTACAAAGTTTTGCCTTTTAATGGACATTTTGCAAACTAGCTCAATGGAATAGTGATGTCCTTTTTGTGTATTATTCCTGGCATCACTGAAGGCTAATTCTACTATTGTGTAATCCAAGCATTGTTGGACTCATTTCACAGGATCCATTTCCAAGCTTTATGTTTTCATTTCAGATCAATTCCTGAAATACTTTGGCCATCAGACAGTCCCTTTAGTGCATTCTTGATCCAGAGAGACAAGCATGAAACTCCAAACCAAACAAACAAGTTTTACTGAACTGAAAACTTGTTCCTGCCAAAAGCTAGTACACAGTGAATAATATCACATGTACAGAGGAGTAAAATTAAGTAAAATTATATCATTAAGTAAAATGATAATGCACATGTATGTAAAATTGTTCACATAAATGTTGGCAGGGTTTTAGTGAAAAGAAAATAAAGCAAAACAATACTGGTTTTCCACTGCAACTAACCAAGTTATCAGGATAGACTGATTAGGAGCTGCATCAGACCAGACTATTTTAAGGAACACAGACTAACAAGGTTGTTAGTAAAACAAAAATACAGCAATAGGATATACAGCTTTAGTGGAAGGCTGATCACCACCAAAATTCACAATCTGAATTTCTGAGGAAAACATGCCTGTTTTTAGAGACTTTTACCCATTCAAAGCTGCTGAAAAAGAGAAGTTTGGCTTACTGCTTTATGGGTTTTTTGTTTCTCTTGGTTTTTTTTGGGGGGGGGGGGGTTATAAACAAATATTTTTTTCTGCTGTCCTTGAAGACCACTTCTACTTGTATCTATCCACAATCTTTAAACTGGTCATAGCTGGGGTGCTAAGGGCAACAGGGTGTGGTTCACTGATTCACAGACACTGCTGTTTTCTAATCAGATAAAAAAACATTTACATCCCTGAGTGAGAAACAAGCTAACATTGATTTAATAGATTTCATAGACATTAGGGATGGAAGGGACCTCAGAAGATCTTGGAGTCCAGACCCCTGCCCCAGGGGCAGGAAGTCAGCTGGGGTCACAGGATCCCAGCAAGATAAATGTCCAATTGACTCTTAAAGGAGTCCAGACTAGGTGCTTGCACCACCTCTGGTGGCAGTCTGCCCCAGGCCCTGGGGGCTCAGACTGTAAAGAAGTTCTTCCCTATGTCCAGCCTGAAATGGTCTTGGAGAAGTTTGTGACTGTTTGACCTTGCCATCCCATGGGGCGCTCTAGTGAACAGGCGTTCCCCCAGATCCTGATGCACACCCCTTATATACTTATAGGCAGCCACCAGATCCCTCCTGAGCCTGAGCTTTTCCAGGCTGAAGAGTCCCATAGCTCTCAGACTCTCATTGTAAGACCTGTTTTCTTGCCCTCTGATCATGTGCGTGGCTCTCCTCAGGACTTTCTCAAGCTTCTCCACATCCTTTTTAAATTGCGGAGCCCAGAATTGGATGCAGTACTCCAGCTGCGGCCTCACCAAGGCCGAGTACAGTGGGAGGACGACACCCTGGGATTTGCTAGAGAAGCATCTATGGATGCAAGCCAGAGTTTTGCTTGCTTTGCCGATTTGCTGTGCTTCTGAGCACCTGCAGTGTGCAAGGATTTCCTTAGGCCCTAGAAAGTGTTCAGCATTTTGGAAAATCACGCCTTCAATCTTTTCCCTTAATCTCTCTTCCCAAATTTAGCTGAACTTTAAAAACACATTATTCCTCAGCATCCCTTTGAGCCCCTAAGAATGGGAAAGGAAATAAGGAATGGCTCTACTGCTTTGTGGAAAGTTTGAAAGACAGAACCCTGAAGTAATTTAACAAAAGGGGAGAGAGTTACAAGTGTCATTCAGTTTCCATATATATCATGTCCTGGCAACCACAAACATGATTTAGACAAGTGTCTTTCTAGCAAGACTAGAAACTAAAGAAGCTAACATGGGCACCATTCCATTCTGCTCTGTGGATAGTATGCTGCTAGGCATCTCTGAATAATGAGACAAACAGAAGGCCATTCAAGTTATCTACCTATATGAAACAACAGAGAGTAAAGACAGAGAATCAATGGTAAGCACTTAAAAGAATGGTCATGTGCCCCCTTCACAACACCTGATATTGTAGCATACACTGGAGAAAATGCAATACAACAAATGCCCAGAAATCAGCAGGGAATGTTAACAAAACCACCAAGTTTCCAAAAATTGGCAGAATTTCATTAGTGATTTTTTGAAGGCACCAGAGAGGTAAAACTGCAAAAGCTTTTGTTTAAATCTGCTTCTCCTATTTGGCCCTGTTGCTATAGCAAAGCATGGACAGCTACATTGATAGACTCCAAAGAAGAGTCCTATTCCATCCTTAGTAATTCAGTTTTGAGCCAGAATTTTCCTAGAGTACAGGGAAGTTTAAAGAGCAGATAGCTGATCTGGGAAAACTGGAAGTTTATGGCGGTCAGAAGGTCTGTCTTAATATTTGGTAACTAAGAGGGACAGTAAGATCAAGGTAGCACTAAAGCCATTCCACACTGACTCCGCATCCCGGCTTTCCTTAATTCTTCCCGATGCTAGTTCCTCCAAAACGCTGATCACCCTAGTCACATCCAGCTCTGTGCTTAACTTTTGAGGTTTTTTTCTGGACTGGTGCCAGAGTGACAAAGTACTTCACAGGATCACACCCTTAATGAGGAACCAGGAAAAAGGCACCTGCCTGCCCTTTTCTAGAAGTGTGAAAAGTCTTCTAAATATGGGAATGCAGCAGAAGGGCACTAAGATTTGGTGCCTTTTATCTATTGCATTCAATTCACTAGCAAGCTAGAGGGGTGGTGCACATTACTGGGGTCCAGTTCAAAGTCAAAAGGGAACTCTGTGTTCTTTGGAGTTGCTCTAGGTGATGCAAATGAGCACTGAATATTTGTGAGAAGGAAGTTTGGGTGGTGACACAGGGAACAGATGGTACTGACATTAGGAATCTGTTCAAGAAGATAAATGAAATCTGTCTTAAACAACAGCGAACCCTTGGAAACTTGGAACACAGATCACCCCTGCTGTGGATTTTGGGAGATGGTGGTGACCAGAAGAGATTAAGTCATGTGTCTCAAGACTAGAAATAAAAATGTCCTGCTCTTAAAATGTGCAGACATATTCTTTCAATATCCTTCCAATAAATGGAATTCCCAGCTACACTGGGTCAGTGCATAAACTTATTCATTCTGCTGTGAATTAACTGTGTCCTTCTGCAATGAAAGAACTAACATTGTCATTTAAGAATCTATTCTATGTCAGAGAACCCATGCTATTAACATGAAAGCGATAGTTGACACACTTCAGAGTTATTGTTCAACATTAGAACTTGATCCTATCATTCAGGCTGAGGAGACTGGGTTTTGTAGGCAAGAATATGAGTCTCCTGGAACAGATGGATGAAAAATACAGGCAGACTGTCCACAAGGGCCACACTGATGCCAAAACAGGAGGTGCTATAATCCAGGCACCTGAGAGAAACATTTAGTTAATGGGTCTATATGAAGCCTTAGCTATACATGAAGAGTGCTCCTACTTAATTAAAAATATAGGGAATAGTTGTGACATGCTCCCACTTTACTGTAACTACAAGTTCCTGAGTTGGAAAATTTAGGAAGATGACACAAGGATTAGACAAGCATGTTCTGCTGATCTTGCCTTAAAATGCTCTCTGATGCCAATCTGTAACAGTAAATATGTAGACGGTCTAGTTTAGGAGACATTTAGAAATTACTCTATTCAACCCAATTCAATGAAAAGCCAGACTGCTGTATATCACAAAACCATTCAAAGGACCTGCTGCCTTTCAGAGCAGCATTGTCATGCTAGCCTATTCTCCACTGGAAGACAGACAGCCCTTTTTTGCCATTCTGGATATTTATCATAAAGGCTTTGCATAATATAGATGCTGGCTGTTATAAGAGCCACTTGCTATAATCCTATCTTTTAGGTGATTTCCTAAGGATATAGGTATAAATCCTACTGTCCTAGAAAACTTGAAATTTAAAAAGCATGTGAAAGGATACTGCCTGCTCTTGACAGTCCTTTCTATTCTGGCCTGATGCACAATGAGATCTGTACAGCTTTTTAAGTTGCCTCTATGACAGTGCCTCTGGTTTGGGGTTAAAAAAGAAACATGAGAGTAGAAATGTGAAATTTTTTGTCATCTGCAAATAAAAATTTCCATCTTGAAGTCTGGCATGAATGAATTTTTTTCAAGCCTGTGTAATGAATAATATTACACCAGCTAATTGAGTTTGTAATGTGACTTGTTTCTGGATGTACTGTCACAATGTACTTTTAGTATAAAACCCATATTTCTAAGGCTTTTGTATCCTGGTTTTAAAGGTTGAAAGAAAAATCAAGACCTCTGAATATTTTATATTTTTAACAATGCCAAAAACCTACTCTGCACAATTAGCTGCTTCATGGTATCAGTCTATAACATGACTAAGCCTCTGGGCACAGTGGGCAAATAGAATTTAGAAAAAACCCTCCCTACTTGTTTAATTGAGAGGAGCATCTCCTCTGTGAGGTTCAGTAACTTTTTTCCTCTAGCAGTGTGCCTTAAAGATTGTTAGCAGATGGACT